ACATTAATAACAATCATCCAAAGCACCATCCTTTGTGCAGAGTATGTAGTCTTGTCCATTTGGTCAGGCCTTTAATAAAGTTATGGAAGCAAGCCACAGAATTGCAGTCCTTTTATTTTTTTTTTTTTTAATTCCATCTCTGTAGGGCTATAGAAAGCAGTAGGGTAAGTTGCATTCCTCAGTATTAGGATGTTCTTTTACAGGTTAAGAATTAATCTCTTGATTGGTCTCATTTCTTGCTTTTTGCTTAGGTAGTAACTTCTTTTAATATGAAATTGCTTCTGGCCTTAATACTATGTAAATGACTCTTAATTGGCTAAAAGTAATAGCTAGAGTGTATGGATTTTAGTAACTGCATTTTTTTGTAAACATGTCAGTTATACTGAAGTTACTGAAATGTCAATGTCTGATTGACATGCATTTTAAGAGTTTCACTTGCCCTTACTCCTTACCTTTAAAATAATTCCTTTCTTTCCTTTCATATTTGAGTTTTTGGGAGAAAAAAACCCCAAACTTTAAAACTGGCAGTGTCTTTATTAGTTTACAAACGTTGCATTTCTTTTTCGGTTTATAAATACAGACAGAGAAAGCACAAGAGAAGGTGGAAGTGAGCTCAATTCCAAAAGCAACTTCTACTTCATTGCTTTGCTCAAGCCCTCTAGATGTCATTGTTATTGTTTTCTCTCCCCTTTTAAAAGATGAATATTTAAAAAATGTGATATAGTAAGTCTCAGCAATGAAGTAATAGAGTAGTATATGTAGCTCAGCCTGTTCACCAGCATGATTCTGGATGTGCTTTTCTCTCTTAAATGGGAAAAGCTTTGACAATTTAGCCACAAAATTGCAGAGTAGGTGAGGTTTGGTTTAGCTCAGTATGCAAAAATTTATTCCAATTAAATTTTTAATCACTGAAAGGCAGTGGTAGACTAAATATTTGAGGTTTTTGACTGAGAAGCATAAAGGAAATGCCTGACAAAGCCCTTTTCACTAATTGCGAAGATATTACCAAAACATGCTGTAAGGACAGAGTAAATTAATCTTATGAACATTTCTAAGGTTAATTTTCAAACATTCCTTTTTAGTCTGTTTTGAGTACACCGTGATTTGATCTCACTAATTTTGTTATAGAGAATGGTGTTAGGGGGTTTTGTTCTAATATCATTCAAACATAGGCTGCTTTTGGTTGAGCAGTTTCTTTCATTCTTTTCTATTTTTTCATGTGTTTAAAACCACAAAAATAAGAAGTATTGGTGGAGGTGAAGTTTATCTGGACCAGTGATGCCAAAGCACTATTGTCTGATGCTAAACATGCTTTTTAAAAGCAAGAACCTTCTTGGTGATGATGGTGACAAATTTGTTTGTGCCTAAAGTTTGCTACTGCTGGCCTTCATGCTTATATACACCTTTTCTGATCCTGCCTTGAAAGCTTATCCTTGATGCCCCTTAATTTTCTTCCTGCACTTTACTTGTATCATATCTACAGTTATTAATTTGTGTCTCTGTTCAGGAGTGAGCACCTTTGTATAGGTGCAGTTGAGATATTTGCATTATTCCAAACAGAAATACTGTCTGAAATTTTTAAGGAGCCTAAAAGCTGGTCTTGTATCAGAATAATTAAATTAGGTTCTAACATGAATATTTGGGGTTTAGAGTGCAAATATGTAGACACAAGGATGCAAACAGGCCCTAAGGGCATGTCTGTACAGAATTTCAGTAGATTTTGGTTTTCAGCCGAACTGGCAGATTGCTACTTAAAGAGTCAAAGTAGGGGTGTTCTTCTTGAAGATTTAAAGCAGCAAACATTCTAATTGTCTTTAAAAATGAGGAAGATACAATTCAAAGGAGTTGGTTTGAGCATGTTCTGGAAGGAGGCAGTCATAAAAACACACATGTACATTACTATCAGTGTTCATCTGTGAGCTGTCTTTGTCTTGTCTGAAATCACTGAAAACATGTCAGTTCCAAGTCAATGTTAATGTACCTTAAAATTCCTTGTCCCTGAAAGGAAGGGATCTCAAAGTCGTTTACAGACACTGTGGGACATTGCTGTCTAAGTTAATGTGCCCTTTTGCTCTGGCATTCCATCAGCACAGGGAGAGCAGCTGACATGAAAGCACATCCTAGTGAAAAGCAGGTAAAAGCTGTGTGTCCCAGGCTAGGAAGGAAACCATGTGCCAGAGCAGCCACCACTCTTCTCAATGTTACAAACTGTTAACAAATACACGAAATGTACTTTGCTAAAAGCAGTGTGATGTGGAGATCTACCATATTATCAATGGTATATTTTGCTTCATTTCTTGTCTCTGAAAGCATTTAACTCAATTTTAGGGTGATTTAGATTGTAGTTTTGAGGAGTTTTTTATAGTAAATTTCATGTAGAAGATGCTTGACAAATCTGTTTTGTGTTTGTCTTGATGTGTGCAGTGGATCGCTGTTAAATGCTTTATGAAGCAAAAGCTAATTCTGTATTTTAACTGCTTTTTTTCTTGTACAATCTTACGGCTTTTTCCATAATACAGTAGAACTTCAGTCACAAGTTTCATTCCCTTGCAGATGCTTAAAAAAGTGTAATGGGTAACTAAAAGTAACCTGTCATGAAGTGTTTGAAGGCTTGTGAAAGTTGCATGCATTTTCATAAAGTGTTTTGTTATTGTTCTTGTAACCCATCAAAAGACATAAACTTCATATGGAAAAAATGCCAATTCCTAAAATTTAATGAAGTTATTGTGATTTGAAGTTCTACTACATAGTATGTGTTTCATCTGCACTGGGAATATAAAATTTCAAGCTGACAAGTTCTTGCTCATAAGTTTTTTTCAACAGTTTTGCAAGGAGCATTTTCAGGGAGTTTTGTGGCGAATCTGCTTTGTTTGGTTGGATTTTTTTTTTATTTTTTAAATCTTGTTATAGGGACACATTTGTGACTTTGCAATGCAGTCTTTGAGAGAGAACTCCATTAATGAGTTAATGAGAAATACCTACTTAGACCAGAGGACTTAAAGCTGGGATTCCAGTGGACTGCTTTTGTCTCTCTAAAATATTTGGAATGTGGCATTACTGAATGATATTTTGGCTTTACAAAAGTGCTGAATGTATCCAGCTTCAAATGAGTTTGGAGGTTTTCATGAAATCTGGCCTAATGACTTTCTGTCCTTCCTTAGTGTATGAAGTTGTAATAGTCATCAGTTATTGAGGCTGCCTGTTTGAAATGTATAAATTAATATAAATTTTCACACAGTTGTTTCCATGCAGATGTTTGCACAAGATGAATTTCATTTAGTATGTAGTAGCTGGTCACTCTGTGGTCAAGCTCTGCTGTAGCACATGGGCTTTTTACAAGCAATTTTTATGTCTTGTGTGACTGATGATTATTTCTCTAGCCAACTGGTGTTATTCTTTAAGTTGTTCTTTAAGTTATTCTTTAGCATAACTTTGAACCATTCATATGGGTTTTGTTACTTGGTCATGCTACTTCTTTTAAAATTAGCTTTTATATAAAAGTATTTTAGAAGATGAATTTGTGCTGATGAAAGATGATGCCCATGCTAGTGAAAGATGTGTGGAAACTAAAGTTTCTGAAATAACCTGATGATCCTTTGTTATGTAAAACAGAATAGAGGTGAGGGCTGTCATGTAATCTGAAGAGTAAGATAAATGAGTAGGTCTCTAGGTAAAGTGATAGGAGTCCTACAGTTCTATAGCAAGATCTCTTGCATCAAACACTAGTTTCAGATATTCTGCAACTGAGTTGAAAGAAAGTACCTGTATAAAAATACTGGCTTTTTTTGAATTTGTATAGACCTGCAGTTCAAAAGTCAGTATTTTAAACATATTTTTAAATACAGACAGCAACAAGGAAGGCAGTTTTAACATCTGATTTATAGTGCAGTGCAATAGTGCTTTTACTTATAGAAAGCTTACAGAATATGTAATAATTCTTGTCTCTTTTGGCTGTATTAGGTAAATGCTATGCAGCTTGCACATAACATCACACTTTAAGACAATATGTGATGTAACAGCTATGATTTACCACAAAATACACTTTTGTGAAATAATTTTCTTTTGTAACTAAACCTGAAGTAGTGAAATGGTTGTCCTATCTGTTGTGTTCACGTTGCAGAATTCTGTTGTTCAGGACAACCTAAAGCTAACCCAATCCTTCACCAGTTCAAAGACAAATTGTATTAATATAAAGTAGAATATTTTCAACTGCTTTTATGTACAATAAAACCTCCAAACAACTGATAAAGAGATGAGAAAAAGGTAAAGCTATAAGACCATTCAATATAATCTATTGTTTGAGAAGAAAGTTCAGACCTGCTAAAATATCAGTGGTGCCTCTGAGGGTCTTGAATCTCTGCCAAAGCTGTTTAGGCAGCAGATGTGGAAGAAGTGTAGATGGAGAAACTTGGATTGCAGAAGCCACATGGAAAGCACGTCAGAGTCAAGAACTGAACACTGATCCCCCAGTCCTCTTCTGGCCACACAGTGGGCCTTAAACTGTTTGTGCTCTTATCTTTTTGAAAAGGAGTTCAAAATTTGATGTTTTGTCTTGCTTTCAGGGTTACAAGATTTACTAATTTTTAATCTCCCTGTTTTAAAGTATTAAGGGGCAGCTAAAATGGATTTTTTTTAAGGTTTATACTTGAAACCTAATGGAATTGAAAACTTGAACTACTGTAGCAATGAAAAAAACTTTGGTTTTCCTTTTTCTTTTTGAGATGGTTGCTTCTTACTTTTTTCCTTGCTTTCCTTTGATCTATGTACTGATCATGAAAATGTTTCTTTTTTCAATAAACTGTCAGGGAATGTTGTTACAGTAATCAGTGGTGAGGTTCCCAGATGAATATCTCTATATATCCATCTCACAGAAAGGCAATGAGGCTACTAAGAAAGGAAAAAAAAAATGTAGCATGGATTTTAACTATTTTATTGAGTAATATTTTAAGGTGTTACTTCATCCAAGTTGGAATACTGTCAAATTCTATGTTTATATACAGGAACTTGACAAGAGGAGTTGGTAGATTTAGAGAGTTACTAAGAGCTGTCGAAACAAGAACTACACAAAACCTGCGAATGGTGAGTTATATTAAACTCCTTTCCTACTCTACCATCTGAGTTTCAGTAGGCAGAGAAAGCACAAATACAGTGGATGAGTTAGAAACAAATAGCTGGATATGTAGCATATTGATAAGGACCTGTTAGCCAACACTTTATAAGGTTACATTTCCTGGCTTAAGAATGATTAATGAATGATTAAAGTAAAGAATGTTTTGTATCCAGTCTCCTCCCTATTCCTTTTTCTTGTTTGTGGTTATAATTAGAACCTGACGGGTCTCTGATTGACCATACTTTCAGCCTTAGTTATAATTGCCTTATTTATTGTAGTTTCAATGTAGTTTTATGTTCTGTAAGGTAGTGGGGGTGAGAACAGAAAGCATCATTTTTGTGTGGTTTCTATCAAGTTGAAGGCTATCAAGTTATAAAGCCTCTTAAAGGAAAACCATGAAAGCAAAATCATGAATATTTGTCACTTATATTGTCAGAACCTTGAATCTTTTATATAATAAAAGTAGAGGCTCATTTTTTACTGCCATGTAATTATTTTCAAAATATCCTAGATTAGTTTCCTAATACTGGGCCTTTAAAACTTCCAAGTAGTACTTCCTAGTAGTAAGGAAGGTAAGTGATTTCTTAATTAATTCAATAACTGATTCCTAGTAAATATATTAAAATTATTTAATACTAGACTTTCAATGGAGAAGGATAGTATTGCAAATTTTAATAGGATGAAGAACTTCTTATGATAAAGGAGTTAAGGTGGAAGATGCACATCTTAGGGTGCTGGTGCTCTCTGTGTCTTGGACTGCTCCACTGTGTTCTCTCCCATGCAAACAACTGCTCCAGGTCTGAAGATGTAGTAGAAGTTATTGAGCATCTTAGGTTATTGATTTTCTTAGGAGTAGCAGCTGAGTTGTTCATACTTCAGAAGTATCTGGATTAACTAACAAAAAGGAAAAATTGTTTGTTATTGCTGTTATTTTTCTTCGTGTTTAGAGAATTGAACTGGGTACTTTTACCTTTTAAACAGCATCATGGCTGGTTTTTTTCGATGTTATAGAGTACAAAAGTACATTCCATATAAGTAGTCGTCATTAGAAAAAATCTGAGCATTTTTAAGAGTTTGTATTCAGCATTTCTAGGGAAAATATTTATCATTTGCTTTTACAGACAATAGCAAGACAACTTGCAGAAATTTTGTTACGAGGTATGTGTGAACAGAGTTACTGGAATCCCCTGGAAGATCCTCCTCACCAATCACCCCTTGATGATCCACTGCGAAAAGGTTCCAATATGAAGAATTATGCACTCAGTAGGAGACCACGGGTATACACTGGAGAGAAGTATGGCTGAGTTTAAACCTCTTTTGTTTCTATACTTGCAGTTGTTACCCAGTGCACTGGATAATTTAGTTTGCATTTTTGAAAATGTAGAAGGAATTTAGCAGTGTGTGGATAGATAAATAGATTCTCTGAGGAGAACCAGGGAAGAAATATGCTTCTCCCAGGGGAAGTTTGCACTGCATACATTAGACCTTTTGTTCTCAGTTGCAGAAATATTTTTTTTTATCCTGGTGTATATGATAGACTTAATATCTCTTATTATATTTGGGATACAAAAGAAAACATGAACTGGGTAGCAAATCAGATACTGCACATTTTAAAAGTTATGTGCTGCTTCTAGACATCTATTATATGCTTTATAAAGGAAATATTCAATATTATGGAGATTCAAGTTGGTCCAGGAAGCATTATGAAAAAATAACATGTCTAGAAATTTATCTAGCAGTTTCAAAGCTAGTTTATTTTCCAAGGCTAATCTTTTAGTTATCATCTTAGATTAGTTTTGGCATTTCTTTTATGATTCCACCTTTTAATTCAGTTTTATTCTTTCGTTAAATCAGGTAAGTGATACTTTTTGGTTCATTTTTGTCTGTTATATCTCACAGTGAATTCTAGAGTAGCTATGGTATATTTCTTCCTTCTTGAAAATGTAACTTTTTTTCCCAAACTAATCACCAGTAGGGTTACTATTAAATATGGATAGCCATTTCCTTGAATTTGAAATTTTTCTTCAAAGTTAGTATCTTGACTATGGAAGTAGCCCTACTTACTTAATGGAGGGATGTTTTGTTTTAGTGTTCACTTTATATTGTAACATAAATGCCTGCAATATGACACCATTTGAGTTGTTTAGCTGTATTTTTTTTCAGAGTTCCATTAATGAATCTTTTACACAGCAGCAAGCCCACATAATTATGATGTCTTTACTATTATTAAATAGAATGGCCTTTATCTTCAAAGACTTCTAGCAGTTCTCCTTCCTGCATCCAGAATAGTTACAGCAGGTTTCTCAGGCTCAGTCTTTCAAACTTACGTTCTCCATTCTCAACTCATCCTTCACAGCAACATGCTTCCTGCAAAAGTGGGGTTTTGTTCAGTTTAGTTCTCTTGTTCTTGGCACGTGCAGGTGAGGAGTTCCACAATTTCAACAGCGCATGTAATTAATTTTATATGACCTTTCATCAGGTCAGACTGGTTAATACCATACCACATAAAGTATGTCCAGCCAAGCATCTCATCTCCAGCAGTGACTGAAAGCAAGTATCAAAGACAATGACATTTAGGAAATGTTTTCCTAGGTATTCTTTTGACCACCAACTCTGAATCTGCAATGCACTTTTTTCTAAGTATGTTACCTGACATTAAATAACTGCGTTGTGTTCTTATGAGGATTATAGGTGTAATTTGGCTAATAGCATTTATGGTTTTTTAGATCTCTGTGTTATTGCTTCTTCAGTTTACTTGAACCAGTTCTTCAAATGAACATAACTTCCATGGTTTGCCTTTGGTTGATAGCTGTTTCATGTTTTCAGTTGCTTCTTTTGCCCTGTTACACTGAAATTATTTTACTCATGTGCCTGCATCTATCAGGACAAACAGAAGATTAGTTCAGTCAACTTAACTGAGCTTTTTTGCTAAGGTCAAAGAAATGTCTCACTAATTTCTGCACGGGGAGGATTTTGTTTGAGATAAACATCAACATATCTACAAAAATACGTTTGAAATTGCTAGACAAAATAGTGTTTGCTTTTGTTTTGATAAGTGGCTTTTTAGTAGTACTTTTTGGGGCAGCATTTCTTCTTTCTCTGAGAGAATAATTTCTCCAGCAACTCTTTCCAGTCATTATTCTACTTTCTGGGTGCCATTGTCAGTTGGTCAGGTTCAATCTTCTTCCAGGTTGTTAAATTCTGCATAGAGGAGTGAATTGTTAAATAAGGAGCACTCTGATGCTTCCTCATCACTCCTCATTCCTCATCGTGGGTGGTTCTTATTCATGACTAACTATGTTTTGAAATTTCTTTTGTTATGTAATAACAAATTATATGCTAAATTCTAAGATTTGGAATACTCTTAAAAATCTGGTGAGCAGTTGCATTGATTAAAAAATAAAAATACAACAACAGAACAGCTGCCCTGGGGTCTTAGCTGTTGTGTATTACCACAATACGTTCACAATGTTGCTTTCAAACTGCCTGGAATTAAGACGTCTTTTAGTTTCTCTTTTCTTTCAGGCATTGAATTACTGCTTATATTTCTAGTGCTTTAAAAAAACCTGAAAAGATGTTTCAATGTCAGACAAGTTTTGTTTCCTGTCTATAATGTATTGTAGTTTAAACATCCTTGGGACTATAGGAATTGATTACTAACAGCAACAAATAATTTTCTCCATTTAAATAGGCAATTGTGGAACTAATGGACTGAATTAATAGAATATACTGCTTGGGCTAATTCAGAAATAGTTTAGAGGAAGAAAGCTGAACAGATAAAACATAGTCAGTGATTTGGGGGATTTTTTAATGTATATGCAGATGGATTGATGAATTCCTGCCAGTACCCAATGCAGATTACTGTTGTCTTTCCACCAGCTTAGAAGAGTTTTCAGAAAGTATCCAGTATTCAGAGAAAACACTAAAGTCTAGAAACTAGTCCTATGCAAACCTTCAGCATTAAGTTGGAAGGAACTGTACTTCATTACAAGCAAATAATTCTACTACTTAGAGCTAAGACTGGCTGAGGCAAACAGGTGGAGATTGTCATGGATCTATTTAAAAATATTCATAGCTATTGAAAGCATCAGCAAAAATTTTTTAAAGACTGATAGAAGTATGTCTCCACATACTGCCTAAAATACAAAAGTTCTCCTGTTCTTGTCTGAGGGTTTCCTCTTGCCAGCACTTGAATCAGTGATGTAGATGGAGCTCAGACAGATTAGGTGTAACAGGCTAGTTAAACTATGGGTTTAGTGTTTACAGTTGTCAAATTATGCTCAATTTTGGGATATTTGAATAAGTTCAACTCTGACAGCTGTGGTAGTTTTGTTCTTTTATTGTGTTCAGCCAATTTTTCTGAAATGCAAATACAGAGCATTGCAAAGAATGCATTTTAACAAATTGATTTTTTAATGCAAGTTACTTTCCTTTTCTTTTTTGGACATTTTCCAGTTTTTACAGTGCTTTAATATATGTATGTGAATTACTCATAAAAGTAATGTGTTCTGCTTAAATAATTAAATTTTCATTTTGAACAGCATCTTCTGTCCTCAAGAAAATACAGAAGAAGCCTTACTGTTGCTGCTTATTAGTGAATCTATGGTAGGTAAAATAGAGTGAATGTGCATTTTCTGTATGTGTGTGCTTTCCTTGGTTTGTTTGGTTTGGTTTGGTTGGTTTGTTTCATTTTTAGTTAAAATGGGCTTTTTTTTTTCTCAAGCCTTTGCTTTTTCTTTTATTTTCTGTTAGGAAAGCAGGCAGTTATTGCTGAAACTCAAATTTTTGATTCTCTGAGCCAGCTAGATGAGGTCTGCAAGTGTTACGGAGTTTTTCTCCTTTGGGCTGGCTGTACCCAGCCTTGTTTCAGCCAGAGGCAGGTGAACAAGCCAAGTCCTTCATTTGGCATCACTGACCAGTATGAAGCATTGTTGCACCAGTTGGTTGCTATTCAGACAGACACAAAATCTAAGTTATTTTTGTTGTAAAACGCAAATTAAATACTACTAGAAGAGCATGATAAACATGGTCAAAAAGTACCTTCCTTTGTGCATTAAACTTCAGTCACTCAAATTTATAAATTATTTTTAATGATACTGACATTCAGTCTTGGCTACTGAATTATTTTTTTAAATGTCCCCATTTCCTCAATAAATGATTCCTTTCAATGGTCTACTTGTGCCCTTTATCAACCTGCCATATTTTCTGCTAGGCATCAATCAACTGCCACATACTGACATTCTCATACCATGTCAGTTTTATGTTCTCAGATAAAATAAAATGCTGGAGCTTTTGCTGTTTTTTTTGTTTTTTAGCTACAGGGGTGAAATCTCTACAGTCTCAGGCATCATGCAGTCTGTCTCACTGCACATCAATGAGATGTAGTCTTTTAAGTTCTACAGGTGATTCAAATGCTTACATGATTTGGCATAATTTCTGTTTTGCTACAGATAAATAGGATCAGAACATTTCAATGAACATTGTCCTAGTTTAACTGTTTTAAGGTGGCAGATATTTACATTGTAGTGCTAACTGCGTTCCTCATTCCTAGTGATCTGCCTTGCAGTATTCGTGACAGAATCTAAAAATTCTGTCTAGATTCTGATTTTCATAACACAAAAAAATCAGCTGAGCAAACATTTCGACTTATCATATGTTGGTTTTGCTACAGAATATGCTGAGGGATGCTGCCTGTTTCTCTGTAATGTGCAGCAGTGAAGATGTAGAGAATTCTGATGTGAGCTGTGGTCTTGGTGTGAAGTGAAAGCAGTCCCAGTTCTGCAAGATCTGACTGCTGATTGCTGTGTAGTATCATCATTAAGAAGCCAAAAACCAAATTAAAAGTACTGCCTTGTTAAGTGTCATTTCAGGTTACTTACAGCTTTTCCTTTGTGAGTTAGTTCTGCCTAATTATATCAAATACTGTCACTGTAGAGCATATACCTTTAGCAAGCTTTCAAATTTTTTTACAGTAATTATTGCAGATTATTTCGGGCAAAAGAGTTTGTTTCGGGGGAGTATAATCTTTGACATGATTGACTTACTTTGGCTAAGTCATTTGTTCAAATTAGTTTTGGAGGGGGAAAAGGGGAAGACTGAGCATAAAAATATTCATCATTACAAATGTACCTTTCTGAGAGTTGAGACCTGTTATTTCAGCTTCAGTGCATGCTAACTTTCTAGCTGTAGTAGTTGTGAAGTGGTATGTGATTTATGATTCTGAAACCAATATCTTGGAAAGAAATAACACTTAGAGAAGACTGAGTAACAGTTGGTGTTTTGATATGCTATTGTGTTGTTAAAGTACTATGATCCCTTACTTTCATTGTCTGTGAATTAGTAAGAAAATATCCCAATCAAGGCTGGGTTGGACAGGGCTCTGAGCAATGTGATCTGGTGAAAAGTGTCCCCACCCATGACAGGATCATCTTTAAAAAGTCTCTTCAAACCCCAACCATCCTGTGTTTCTGTGATGTGACATCCTCAAGTTAACAGTGCATGTATGTGTTGCTGCATTTCAGCTGAGTTGTGGTAGCAGAATCACAGAATGATTATGTTTAGAAGAGACTTCTGGAGGTCATTTTGTCCAGTCCCTTGCTCAGACAGGGCCACCTGGAGCAGGCTGCTTCTCTCTCCAGACAACTTTTGAGTATCTCCAAGGAGAAAGATTCCACAGCCTCCCTGGGCAGCCTGTGCCACTGCTCATTAACACTCAGAGCAAAAACAAAAAGGTTCCTGATCTTCAGAGGGGACCTTCAGTGTTTCGGTTCATGTCTATTGCCTCTAGTCCTGTCACTGGACACCATTGGAAAGAGCCTGCCTCCCTTTTCATTGTATCCTCCCTGCAGATATTTCTAACCCTGATAAGGCTCCCCTTCTGAGCATTGTCTTTTCCAGGCTGAGGAGTCACAGTTCTCTCTGCCTTTCCTCATAGAAGAGTTCCTCTGGTGTCTAATACAGCCTGGGGGGTGTTTGTTGGACTCTCTCCAGTAGCTCCATGTCTCTTGTACTAGAGAGTCCAGAACTGGACCCAGTACTGCAGGTGTGGCCTCACCGGTGCTGACCAGAGGGGAAGGATCACTGCCCTCAGCCTGCTGGCAGCACTCCTCTGGTGCTGCCTGGGCTATCAATGGCCTTTTTTCCAGCTGGGGCACCTTGTTGCCTCCTGCTAACCTTGGGTGATAACCAGGACCCCCAGGTGTGTTCCTGTCCAGCTGTCTTTGAGCTGGGCAGTGCCCAGCATGTATGGTGCCTGGGTTTGTTCCCTCCCAGGTGCAGGACTTTGCTGAGGGCTTTGCTGAGGTTCTGTCAGCTCATTGCTCCAGCCTGTTGAGGTCCCTCTGCATGGCAGCACAGCCCTTTGGCATTTCAGTTCAGCAAACACGCTTGGGATCAGGCCCAGTATCAATCCCGGGGACACACCGCATGTTCCTGGCCTCCAACTAGACTTTGTGTCACTCCTCATCACCTCCTGGGCTCAGCTTTATGGGAGATTCTTAACCAGTGGAAAAATGGCTGAGCACTGGCTCTGAGGGTGTGCTGAGTTACGCTGCTCAAGTGTGTTACAGGTGGAAGTGTGGCCAGATGACACATTGCAGTCTGACTGCCATCTCAGAGTGTCTGACACCATGGCACTTCTGAAATACTGAGCACTTCCATTCCTACATACTTTCTGTTTATAATTACCAAGAAAATGATTGTTCAGATACACAAGATATCTGTAACAATTATGAGACATCCTTGTGCTTTGGCATTGTCAACCACTGTTTCACAAGAAGTGCTAGTTCACAGCTTGTTCAAAACTTGCAAGGAACTGAGTCAAATAGTGATTAGAGGTGGAGTTAAAAAGAAGTTCTTGAAGTTGACTGAATATTTATGCAGTGTAAAAAGTAAAAGCCAAAGACTTCTTGATCAAAAGAAAGCAAAATATCTCTTTGGGGGTGTGCTTGTGTGCGTGTGTGGGGTTGTTTCAAACTAAGATGTGGATTATTCAGCTGATAATTCCTGAGATGTCTGTGCATTTTGCATTCCATGTATCTCTTAGAAAAAAATTCAGTATTTATTTATTCTAATTTTAAAGATGTACTGAGTTTGTTCAGAGCTTAAAATGTTACCCTGTTGAAGTGGAGAAAAAATTTATTATCCCTTATTGTGTGTCATTTTTTGCATCTATAAGAGGGGGAAATAAGCTACCTATTAAAATCTAGTAGTTTTAAGTAAATGTGTTAAGGGGGCCATGCCCAGTGAAGTTAAAAATAAAGAGGGGGATAAGGAGAGAGAAGTATCTTTGACTTCTGATTGCAGACTGCCAGATATACTTGAATTTGTACCAATGTGCAATGGGAATATTAAACACCAACAAAACTAGAAATAGATAGGATAGCAAGATAATATGTTTTCAGAGGTTTGATCATAAAGTGGGAGAAGCACTGTGTAGTTCAGGGAGGTGCTAACTACTCTGAGACCTGAATTTCGTTCTTTGCTCTTGAACATGGTTTCTCTGTGAACATGGTCAATTCATTTAATCCATTTCTAGCTCAGCTTTCTTCCTTCCCAAAAGGAACACTTTACTTAAGGAATTAGGTTTACAACATGCCTTTCACAAAACAAAGTGCAAACTCTTACTGCAAACATGGCCTGATTCCAAAGCTGTGCCCAGAACCAGGATCAGTTTTCACTTCTCAGTAGTAACTGCTGAAGGTGATAGTGGGTTATCCTGGGCATGTTACCATTCACAAGTGAGATGAGTGTCATAATGTTGTGAAGAGAAAAGAAGCTGATTACCTTATTTTACAGAAGCTGGAGCAGAGGATTTGAAGATCCTTTTAGTATGTTTTACTAGCACACAAAAAATAAAGAGATATTTTCATAGATGTATATCCATTATATTGAAAATATACCTTCTTTTTTTTTTTTTCTGAGAACTCTTCAATAACTTTAAATACATTACTTAGATTATGGAATTAGAATGAAGTAATTAAAAATAGGTCCATGTAGAAACACCAGTCTTGCCACTAATATATAAATTTGGTAATTCTTTTTATCTATAAATTAGTATCAGATATCTTTGTATCCCTTATAGCAACTACTGACAGTGAGGTTGAGTAGAATGGTAGTAACTGGGGTGAAAAAATAGCTTGAACTCTAATGGCTGCCTTGGTTTCTCTCTTTGTGGTGTGTTTCAGGCTAACCGTGATGCTGTACTGAGCAGAATACCAGAGCACAAGAACGATCGCATCATCAGTTTGCAAAGTGCATCTGTAGTCTATGATTTACTTACAATAGCTTTGGGAAGAAGAGGCCAGTATGAAATGCTTTCAGAGGTTTGTTGATAGTAGTGAATGTTCATCTGTGGCATTTTTGCTGTTTTCTGTTAATCATGTTAATTGTGGTAGTAAGAAAGAGCTGAAACAAATATAGGACACTGTTATTCTGACTGCTTTATGAATACAGGAGGTAGTTTCCACCCCAAAATGTTTACTGTCTAAATTTATACAAGTGACTTGAGGTGGCCAAACAAGAAAAGTTGCATGGAAGGTGTGGTAAATGTTTAGTGCCACAGAAATGCACATCATTTTTAGGTGGGGATGCATGGATCTGCTTAAAAGGGTACACAGTTAATGTCGAGAGCAAGAAGGAATGGCAAAAAATAAAAGTGGTTCTGGATATAGAAATGGTAAATATTATTTCCTAGAAAAAATATTATTAATGAATGAAAAAGGATTTTAGGAGAAAACTTTCTTTTATACTTCTTAATATTTGAGGTCATCCATAGTCCTTACAGTTTATAATAATTTTGAAGTTAATAAAAAGAAAATAAAGTCATTAAAAAAATGTTCAGGTCTTTGGGAAATGTGTTACTTACCTCACTGTCTGTTTCATTATGTAGCATGTTTGTGTTTGTTGTTTGTGGCAACTTCTTCAGGAAACTGCCAAGTATTGTTAAAAGTTTTGTACCTGTGAAACAGCTACAGCTCTTTGGGCAGAGGAGATCTTTCTCCTGCTGAAACAGGGCTCACCCAGCAGCAGGGTACTGTTGCCGACCACAATTAATTATTAATCTCCAGAAAGAATATGAAGGCATACTCAGGAATTGAGTCATTGAGAAATGGTTTCTCTCTACCATATAAGAGGACTTCTATTAAGAAAAAGATTAAAAAAAAGTGCTCTAGTTTTTCTGTGGTATATGTTAATGGTCACCCATTTATCTGCATCTCACATGATGTTAAACCCTCAGTTTGAGTATTCTTTTTCTTGAAAGTACTTCATGGGTGCCAGCTGGGATGCAAGTCAGTTTAGATCAGTACAATGGAAGGTGTTTCACAGAGCAAAGGAGTACAATGCTCACACAGGCAACATAATCTAATCAGGAATATTTCCATTTACTTGTCACTACAGACACAATCACCTTCAAAATGTAGTTTTAGGTGGTTGCACTAAAGGTGCAAGAGGTGGCCTTCCATATATTTCAGTCTAGAACTTCCAAAACAAGAGATGTCAACAAGTATTTAAAAAAACAAACAATCAAGAGACCAAAAAACCTTGAAAATTTTGATTTCTTTTTTTCTCTAAGTGACTGGCAACCTTTCAGTTTTATATAGAAGACTAACAACTAGGCAGGGATAGAGCAGCCCTGGATTCCAAATCTGATTCTTACATTTTGTCTGGTGTCATTGATGGTTTTGTTGCAGGGCTTTTTGTTGTGGTTTTTTTGTCTTTTTTAGAATGTTGAAGAACCATTATGTTTATGGGAACATTGCAGGTTTAGTGAGTAGAAGATATATGCCCTCAAATCCTGCTGCCGATAGTCTGTAACTTTTATAATTTGAAGTATTGTAATAAACACATATTCAGAAATGTTAAAACATTCTGTTCAGTTATATAATAGGAATTTAATTTTTTAGGGTTTTATTCTCTTTGAGCTGATTTTGATTGCTCTGGTGGAGCAGTTGTAGGTTAAATCAAAAATTGGGAAATTATTCTAACTGTAGAAATGGTATTCACCAACCAGTTCCAGTATCTTCTTGCTCCGTTCTGGTTTAGCTAGAGCTGGTTACTTACAGAAGTAGTTGGTTGTTATATAAGAATATGAAATGATCAAAAATCTGTCTCATCCTTGTTAAACTGTTCTACTGCCAAGTCACGTTCTTAACTGAAAAGGGCTCATGTTCTTATCAAGTTTGTATATAATGGGCTTTCAATTTCTTAGGGTAGCTTCAACTAGATGAAGGAACTTTATACTGTCAATTCTTTCCTAAACAATAGTACTCTGGTTGTGATCAATTTCATTTTAAGCTTTGTGGGATGCATGATATTGAGCTTGTAAGTGTCCTACAAGAAGAGATGACTTAGAGAGCTGTTAAATTCTTTTCCATATACAATCTGGCATCTATTTTCATGTATTTGAATAATTTAATTTTTTTATTGCATGTATGTTAGATAAGAGTCTATAAGAAATCTTAATACTAGTGTGTCTTCTCAATAATTGAAGAGCATGAGCTGAAATAACAATTCCCCCCCCCCCTTCCCACCATATTTAGTGTTTAGAAAGAGCCATGAAGTTTGCATTTGAAGAGTTCCATCTCTGGTATCAGTTTGCATTGTCCTTGATGGCAGCAGGAAAAGTAAGTCTAAATTTTTTCATATAATTCTTGTGTATATAATTCTATATTCATAATATTGATGGCCTTTGATAACAATGTTTAGCACTTCCATAATTTTCATCTGTAGTGTTTTTGAAAATAATTCTAATTCTCGAATCAACAAAGTATGCTGTACTCCTGAATTTATTCCCAGTGCTGTACAAAGAATGTTGTTATTTGAATAGTTTCTAACTTAAATGATGATAACAACTATCTTGCCAATAATCTTAAAATAAGCAGATTGAGTACAAGCAGTGAATTATACCAGATCCTATTATCCTGTAAAACTTGTGTAAGTGTGTTTTTGATGACTTAATTTATTTTATACTTAGGTACAAATTAATGCTGATTCGTGATACTCTTCTTTTTTTTTTTTCCTTTGGAAATTTCTGACTTTATCTTCCTTAATATTGCTGCCTTTGAGACTCTGTATTCTGTGCAAATAATGGATTTTTAAAAAATTTGATCTAAACCAGGAACTTAAGCTTTTAGATGCAATTCTCTGTTTTCAGTTATTTTTGTTTTTTGCTGTCATGTTACAGAAAATACATTCACGTGTAATGTAAACAACTAATTTTCTTAAATATAATTTTCAATGGGATATTTTGCTTATTTTCAGAATGGGGGAAAGGAATGTATTTTCCTTAGGAAATATTTTAGCATCACATGGGTTCCTGAGAGATTGATTTTTCTTCCAACTCTGTTTACTTTGAGTTATTTTCCAAACTGTGATTGGATGGACCCAAATAAGTTAAAAAAAAAGAGGAGCAGTGCCATTCTGTCTTATATCAGACCTATTCCTGTGTGTTGTTTTAACTCCCAAAGAACACCAAAACACTGCTTGTTTAGAAAACTCTGTCCCACTCCTTCTCTTTCATTTGTCTGGCTCAACTACTGTGAGTTTACAGGCCTAGCAAAGTTTTAGATGCATCTCAAAACTGAATTGTGAACCATTGGAATTACATTCTTCTGGGGATGCTTAATGAAAGTTTGTGGAGTTAGATAACAATAGCAGTGCCTAAAGTCTTGTCTTTTACTGGCTTGAGGAGCTTTGACCAATTGTCAACAAAATGTGTAGTAATGTCTCCTTCACAAAGGAAAAATAAGTAAATGGTGTAAATAGGAATTGTGTATCTGTGAAACACATTTATGTTTTCAGTAATTTAAATGGAAAATGTTTTAAACAGTCTGCTCGAGCTGTTAAAGTCTTGAAGGAATGTATACGTTTGAAACCAGATGATGCAACAATTCCACTCCTTGCTGCAAAGCTCTGCATGGGATCTCTGCACTGGGTAAGCTCTGACCTCTGTCTTCTCAGCAAGACCTGTGCTAAAATCTTGGTTTAGAGATGTAGCAAATACTTTTGCACAGTGACTGCATGCACTTGGGCATATCTAAATACACAGCACAGAATGTACATGCGCATGTACATCCCTGTTTGAATGGCTAATTTGAAATACTTGACAGAGCTTATGTTTATCAAGGTAGCCTATTCTGATACTGGTCTCAGACATAGCTTAAAATATACAGAATTTGAAACATTGGAGGACAGATCATAAATGCAACTTAGTAATTCATTGGAAGACAGATCATAAATGCAACTTAGTAATTTTCTGCAAGAGGAAAATAACTTTCTGGAAAATAATGAGACAAATCTCTTATAATCAAGAGACTCATCTGATGGTACCATGTTTGCAGGCAGCTGTGGTTTATGAATTTGTAATAGGGACAGTTGAGTATTTTAGATAAACTTGGAATGGGTGTATCTGTATAAAAGCATTAAAGTGATCAAAGGTCATCATGCTGTTTTCAAGATACTTGTGTAATTTTTAAAGAATGAGGATATTTGAAACAGAAGGAAAAGAGAAGGGAAAAGTCACATATAGCACTTGAGAAAGTGGTGTAGTAGCACAAACATGACTTGTTGAGGCTGACAAAATGCAGCCTTGATTAAGGTATACCCTAGTTCTGTGAATTGTTCCCTATGGATTGAGTCCATATGGACTAGCTTACTGTACTTAGCATTTACAGTTACTGGAATGGATTCAAATGGACTTTTTTTTCTTTCTAGATTATTAAATAATGTGCTAGCATGGCAGCTAATCTTTGATTTTTTTATGTGTTTCTCTGTTTATGAGTTTGCACCATTCAGCAATACAGTATTTGAAGCAGAGTTCTGCATGGTATACTGTTTTTTTACAGTGTTAGGAGCCATAGTTCTTGTGATTGATTTTTCTAAATAAATGGTTCATGGGTCAGGAACTCTATTGATAAAGTGAAAAAATGGTAGATGGCATATATGGACCAGAAATACCTTTTTAATAAAGAAAAAAAAAAGAAAAAAGGCAAAAGCACAGTAAGTGTGCTTTGTGCCAGATTTCTCTCAATCATAGGAATAGGTGTTTCAGCTTAAAATCTGTGGGTTTTACTCAGTATTTAGCAAGAAAACTAAGTCTAATGAAAAATGAAGTGTTCCTTCAAAGCAATCATGGCTGAGATTTTAATAGGTTCAGTGTGCATAATATACATTCTGAGCATTCTGAGAATTCTTATCATTATAGTGTAAGATTATAATATAGTATAATATATTATACTATAATTTAGCTAGTTTTTGACTCACGTGAATGTTTTGTAATATTTTCAGTTGGAAGAAGCTGAAAGGTTTGCCACAGCAGTTGTTGATCTCGGGGACAAAACATCAGAGTTCAAAGCTAAAGGCTACTTGGCACTGGGATTGACTTACAGTCTGCAGGCTACTGATGGTAAGATAGGAATAAACATTCACACTTGGAAATTCTCATGCAACCTAGAGAAGGATACCTGGAGGAATGATAGACATTAAATCTTCCGTGTGCAACCATTTTTCAGTCAATGTATTAAAGCTTCTTCAATTAGTGTGTGGAATGAAATCTCCCCATCGTTCGTGGCACTGATTAAATATATCCTTTTCAGCGTCTTTGCGAGGGATGCAAGAGGTCTTGCAGAGAAAGGCTCTTCTTGCATTTCAGAGGTAAGTGGGTGTTGATCTTTCCATTTTGTTCTGCTATATGTAGTGCAAAGCTTTTATTATGTTCTAAAAAGAGACACTTGTAAAAGATGGTGTAATGACAACTTCACCTCTGGGAGTCTCCCATCATGAGAACAGAATGTATTTCTTTAGCATTTATTTCCATCATTTTCTGCCAGCATTACCTAAATTTATTTCTAGGGATTTCCTTTTATTTAAAGACATTTGTGTTGCTCCCTAGTATAAAATATTTGCTCAAATATCCTCATCTAGTAGGAAAAACCATACAGTGTAAGGTTTCAAGCTGTGGTTCAATGAGATAATGTTTCTAAGAGCTGTCCACTGATCAGATTGTATAGGAGGCCTTTGCAATTATCTCTGTAGAAGCAGAGCAATAATGGAGGCTGTGCTGCAGGGGCTGAGGGTGAAGTGCAGGTTTTGAGGTAGTAAGCTAGGGGAAAATGAAAATTCTGTCTGGAAATGTAACAGTGTGGACAATGGCAGTGCAAATGCCATCTTCCAAGTGCATTACCTGGAAGCAGGGCCTTTGGGGATGACAGTAGTTCATTCTCATGGACTCTGCAAATGAAATGACAATAAACAGGTGAATAATGACATTTCTACCCCAATTATAGAAGAAACAAATCTTGGTGACAAAGCTGGCAAAAGTGCTGTGGCATCTAAATAAGTCTTTTATGTTTATATACCCTTGAAAACCCTTCTTTGGTGAGGTAAGCCTAAATGTAGGGAAACAGGTTTGTGCATTAATGTGAAAATGAAGCCCTGGCTTTTTGGTGGTGATTTTATATCTGATGGGATAGGATTGAAAAAGTGTTTTGCAGGTAACTTCAGAGTGAGGCTGGTATGTGTTGCTCCTTTTTTCTGTCTTGTCTTAGCAATTCCTCTTAGCAATTCCTATGTTTAACATAGGTTTGTTTTAACGTAAGTATGTTTTAACATATCTTTGCTCTTCTGTTCCTTAGTGCTTTTAATAGATTTTTTTACTACTTCAGTATTTTCTCCATGTTGAAACTGAACTTTCTACCTCTTGGTTTGTACCTCAGTTCCTCACCTATCCCTCTTACCACTACTGACTTAATCATCATTGCTAACCATTTTTCACCAATTCTGTGCATTCACTACTTTTGAGACCCCAACAGTGAATTGCTTTCTTTTGAGGATTCTTTGAACAGCAAAGGAAGAAATGGACCATAATGTGAAGCTAACCCATTCCAGTTCAGTGTCTGCTGACCCTATTCTCCAGTTCAGAATAGTGATTCTCAAAATTCTGAGAATCAATTTTTTGGATGGCTCAAAGCCATCTTCAGCCTGGCCTTAAGCACTGCCAGGGATGGGGCATCCACAACTTCTCTGGGTGTGTTCCAGTGTGTTCCTCACCATCCTCATAGTGAAGAATTTCTTCCTAATAGCTAATCTAAACCTACTCTCTTCCAGTCTGAAGACACTAACCCTCTCTGTACCTACCTTTGTAGAAAACTCCTCTCCAGCTCTCCTGTAGGACCCCTTTAGGTGGTGGAACGTGCTGTAACATCTTCCTGAGCCTTCTGTTCTCTGGGCTGAGCAATCCCAACTCTCTCAGCTTGTCTCTAAAGGGGAGGTACTTCAGCTCTCTGGTTGTTTTGGTGGCTCTCCTCTGGACCTACTCTGACAGGTCCACATCCTCCCTGTGCTGGGACCCCCACACCTGGACAAAGCACTCCAGGTGGGGTCTCATGAGGATGGAATAGAAGGGGAGAATCACCTCCCTTGCCCTCTGGTCAGACTTCTTTTGGTGCAGCCCAGCACGTGGTTGGCTTTCTGGCCAGTAAAAGCGCATTGCCAGGTCATGCCAATATTCAGTTCTTATCACTGTGAAATTACTTAATCTCTGTTCAAATGTTGTTGTTTTGTTGTATGTTACGTTATCTTTCACCCAGCACACCAGTCATGCCTGGTTTCTCTTACCATATCTGAAAAACAAAAGTTTTCCAGGAGATGGAAGTTAAATTCTCTGTCTTCTACCAGTTTATAAAGCAAGTGGCCTGTACTGGACTTGGTATTTTGATGTGTCTTTCTTTTTTTCCCAATAAATTTTTTTGTGGATTTTTAAAATCACCTACCTAGAGGCCTAGAGGGCCAATTCCTGAAGAAATAGGGCTCCTGAAGAAATACAGTTACAATTTGGACCCTTGCCTAAGTCAAATTTCAAGGCTTACCAATTTGTGTTGGTGGCCATTCAAGAAAGTGCCTGTTGCTGTCTTCACGCAGTACTGAGGGGTATTTGTTTCACTAACTTTTTGTTTTTGGAAGACTTTCAGTGCTTTTTCTGTGGCTGGCATGCATTGGAGTTTCACAGAACTCACCAAATGGTAGATAGATAGATAGTAATAATTCTTTCACTATCTGAAGCTTGGGTTACTGAAGAAGTACTCTCTAAGTAAAAATCTATTGTTCTTGTTTAGTATTGCTTAATTTGTGAATTTAAATTTTAAAAAAGGACTGGTCCTGGACCCTGTTAGTCTTTACCTGTGCATCTAGTCTCCAATTTACAGGTGAAGTTAACAAAATATGGAGCTGTCCCTTAATTACTTTAAACTTTTTTGACATATCTTGGGTGTAGTTACTAAGCTAATGTACATCATGGACCTGTACAGCTGTTTGGAGTTGAGAAGGCAGAAATGCACAGGTCAGAAGCAGAAGGTTCTCTGTGGTTTTTGTGGTTTAAAGGTCAGTTTTGATGCTTCCTCCCAACGGAAGTGACTCAGTAGATGTTCCAAAGATGATTGTTGCACATTAGAGTTCTAAGTGAGACTCAGTTAAAAGAATGCAACAAATGTAAATAAAAAAATAGTCCCAGGCTTCCTGCCCAGAACTTAATACACATCATTTGGGATACAGCCATAATTTTTTTTGTCCTTCTGCTCAAGCATCCCCCTGCTAAAAAGCTCTCACCTTGCAGCAGAAAGATTGTATTACAGGGGGAAATAGTAGAATGTATTACAAGGACAATTTCCATGGGATACTAAAATGACTAAGACTCAGAGTGTGCATTTCACCAAAATATTAAAAAGAAGATAACAAACATAATTTTTTTAAAAGTGGGAAAAAGTTGATATTATTCATCTGTTTAAGGCATGGTGTTCTGGGGAATTCATGTTTGGATTTTTTTCCCTTTTTTTCTGTAAGAAAACTTTGTTTAATGAATTTTTTATAAATATTCTAAGTAATGGCATCTAGTGTTTGTTTAGGAGTATAATTTATTTGAAGAATCATTTTGTATTAAAGATTTAAGATTTAAGCAGAAATGATATAATTATTTTCTATTGAAAATGACTTTTCATGTCCCAAGGTGCTTCTTTTAAATCAAGGATAATTGAGAAGCATAAGAAAAGTTGCTGAAATGAGCACCACTTTTATCAAAATATGAGTATACATGTAGTGAAGAGATCTGAATATAAATAAATGAATATATATGCATTTATGGGTCTGCCTAACCTGTCTGAACAGGGGGGAAATTAATTTTTGTTTTGTTTCTTTGTTTTTAAGGGCTCACAGTTTGTCTCCAACGGATCATTTGGCAGCATTCTACTTGGCACTGCAGCTTGCCATTTCCAGACAGGTTAGTTATATTTTAAAAGTGCAGCATCATGCTGTCATATAAAGGTTGGAATTTGTATCTGTGGATGAACAGAGATGAAGATTTCCTCAATAAAAGCCTGATTTTCCTTGTGCACTTATTCACATATATGGAAAAAAACCCCGAAATACTCTCTCCAAACCCCTTCAGTCTTATGCAGTTCTCCAGAATTCTGCCATTATTTCTAGCTCTAGGATCAGAAATAAGACAGAAGTAATTCCACTTACTTTAGCATTTATGTTGCTAGACAGAGAGAAAAACAGTCAGTTTTTAAGGTGTTTTTACCTATTATGTGTAATCTCTGCTCAGATCCTAGAGAGGGGAGCTCTTGAGTCCAGTCTTAAAGAGCTTTACAGTGCTTAGATCTTGAGTACCTGCTAATATCTGTGCCCATCCTGAATACCTGTGTGAGGCTTGGTTATTGTGGACAAAATTACAAAGAAGTGTTCAAGAAAACTGGAAAATATTTTATCACTGTAAAAGAGATCAGAGCTTAGTCCAGCTTGTAGAGCTGTTATGTTTAAGGCATTCTACCTTACATGAGATGAATTTGGATAATGTGGAACTGCTCTCTGTATATCATGGTAGGTCTCTTCCTGTGTCATGTTTATGTCACAAAGTAGCCCTGAGCACAGTTGTTCACATTCTCTAGTGACTACTTTTCATTGCTAATGAGTAGTGCAGAACTTGGACTATGTCACTGAAGAGTGGAATGGATTGTCACTTTACTGGCACAAAATATTTTTGAGGAGCAGGCAGTGACTGCTCAGATACATTCTGAATTCCAAAATACTTGTGTTGCTTAATTAAATTTCTTGGTTTTAACACTTACTGTACTTACTTTGAACAAGAACACAGGCAGCTGAGGAGACAATGAAATTCTACATAAAAATGTTGCTGTTGCTGTACATTTCAGTTAAGCATTGCAATTAAAATATTTTCAAAATCATACAGAAATACAGCTAGGATGGGAAAAAAAATATTTTAAGGGGCTGAAGGTAACTGTTTTATAAAAACATTCATCTTACTTTCCAGGGTTAATGTATTACATAATTTTCAGAGTTTCTGTAGAGCATCAGGTCCGTTTTAAATTGCTGAGTAGTGTTTTACAGGAGTGAATAGAATTCTACATGTTACCTGAGTGAGCATTTTGAAATTTTTGTGGATGTCAGTCATGTAAAAGGCAATACTTTTAACAGTGATGCTTTCTTTTTCTGCCTTTTTTTTCTTTTTTTTCCATCAGATACCAGAAGCTTTGGGTTATGTTCGTCAGGCTCTGCAGCTACAAGGAGATGATGCCAACTCTCTTCATCTCCTTGCACTCTTGCTATCAGCCCAGAAACATTATCATGATGCTTTGAATATCATTGATATGGCCTTGAGTGAATATCCAGAAAATTTTATGTGAGTGAATATCATGTTTCCTTTCTATGCTTTCTTTTGTATTTATTTTTCCTGGATTCTCATCTCATTCATTTCAAGAGGAGATGGATTTGAAGATGGGTCAATTTTTTTTTTCCAGCAGTCTTCTTTCCCACCCATTTATTGCAAGTCTGTTTATTAAAGGCTTGTTAAACAGTGATAAAGGATTTGTTTTGAAAGGGAGATTAAAACTGGATAGTTGATCTTTGTTTTTTTCTACACCATCTGTGTAAATAAATTCTCCCTGTTGCATGCTTTGTACTATGTTTGTGTCTTCTATTTTTATACAATATTGCAAGAAGTATAAACAGGAATTTACTACTAGCTAGACTAGATTTATCCCATCTTACAGATAATTCTATGGATATTGTATGGAATCTATTTTGTAAAATACATCATAAAACAGAGAATCTCCTCATTTACTTAGATAATAACCGTCATGTGAAGTTGGTTATGGACAACTACATAAGTGAACAGGGAAGAAGCATATTTGCTGGATGTTCTCTTGTTTAAGAAAGAAATCATTATTTCCGTTTAAGAAAGATGTTAAGTACATCTTAACATATATTGGGATTTTGTACTTTTGTAAGGGTTTTTTTTGTTTGTTTGTTTTTTTGGTGGGTTTTTTTTTTGGTTGGTTGGTTTTTAAAAAAATTATTTTAAGAAAATCTAATAAAATTCTTTATAGGAAAATATCTCAGGGACAGCTTCCATTAACTCATTAACTTCCAGTCTTCTGCTTTGGTGCTTTACCAGCTGTCACTCAGGTTGTAATCCATTATATTACACATATTCTACATACTTATTTGGACAAGTTTTTGCAATTACCCCATAACTTCTAAATGACAAGCCTATATCATAAATTGTTGTTATATCAGCCTACCAGCAAAACATGATTTCTTTAAGTATTATTCATTTGAAAATAGAAACTATGGTGGTTTCCCTTCCTGTTCCTTGACATTTCATGTCTCCATTTGATTGTCTCTATAAGGTACTGTTGCTTTTTCCCTCACAAATCTGACCAGGACCTCTGTTGATATCACCTCTTCTTAGAATTTTTGTGGCTTGCAGCCAGTTCTGTGCAGTGGCTTTTGTTGCCTTTTGCTGTATCTCATTCCTAGTTTATCTACACACCCATGACTTGTTTCAGTTCTTATCAAGGACTTCTATAGATGTTTCACAATATCAGAACTATGTAGTAGTTTCTCTTCAAATCTGTTTGTGCTTTCCTCAGGACTGAGGGACTTGTCAGTAAGTCAAGGTTTGAGAGGCAATTGAATTATCAGCTTCCTAATTTTATACCCTATTATTGTTAAAGACAAATATATTCAAAGCACTTTGACTGTCAGCTTCTGTCTGTTCTCATTTCATCTTCTGCCACTTAGTGGCAATGTAAATAATGTAGCTGTAACTGCTATGTGTCTCAGAGTACTAATAGTCCAGAACTATTTCTGAGACTGTACTTTCAGAATTCTCTATTGTTACAAGAGAACTCCCTATTATATTAATCTCTATTGTAATGGGAGAACAAGGGTCCATTCAGTAAAATGTTTAAAAATACTCTTGTGAGCCTTCAGAAGGTATTTATGGGTTTTTCAAATGTGGTTCATGGCTTTTCAAAAGTAGTTTATGCTGCAACTCTGGTTAAACATGTTGTCCAAGTTGTTCATTACAGTAATGATGTTTGTATTAAGGCATGTGTATGTAAATATAAATATATATAAAAATATATATATAAAATACAAGTCATAGTAGTGGTTCTAAATTTTTCATCCTGTCGTATAATAGAGACTCTGTGGTGATACAGTGTACTGTGTTACAGTGTACTGGTACAGATCTAGGAATTTCTTGGCAATAGTAATCACCATCAGATGCAGTAACAAATGCTAAAGAATCCAAGGTGAAACAGTTAAATGTATCTCTAGAAAGTCTCTCAGAGTCTTGTTTTTAGTGCTGTCAATTTCACAGAGAACTCGAAAATATGATTGAGATTTCTTGTCTGCTCTCTCCAATTGATACTGACAGCCAGACAGGCACATCTGGTCAATAATATAAATTTGGATTGATTCTGTCATGTAACTAGGTTATTTTTGCAAGGATTTATCAGCTTTTGAAAACGATATGTAATGCTCTTGAAATGGCTGACAACATGTACGTGCATATATATAGAATACAAAACACAACTGCTTAGTGTATTGCTGAATCCATGTTCTTATTTTGCAACTTCTGTAAACAATATAATCTCATGGTATTTCCTGGTAGACTGGGAATAGATCCTCTAGTGATCCTCTACAGCTTGCTGATTTTTAGATACACTGAAACATTTTGTTATTTTCCTGTGGTGCTTTATTGGGTTTTATAAACACTTCAGATGTCTTTATGCTTTATATTTCACTTATGTCTGCAATCTAGTAAGCTAAAATACTATAAGAGTTCTCTTGGTATTCTCTGTGTTTCTGTTAGGATACTTTACCACAGCTTTATGTAAATTGATACTGTGATGGCTTTGCAGAGTAATGAATCTCTATACTTGGAAATATTAAAGCATAGTGCTTATGATTTATGTCATTTCTTATTTCTCTCATTTCTTGTGCATTATTCCTATCTACATACCTCTGTATTCTGTTGTTGCATTGCTGCCCTGAGTGCTGTTCTTGCTCTCTTCACAGCTGCATCTTCTTTTTGTTTTGCATTGCTTTAAAAAATATCTACATTTTCACAAGTTTAATACTGCATCTTTGTAAAATGCCAGAGGTTGAAAGGAACTCATAGGATACACCATGAATAATGCAGAGAAGTGGCTCCTTTCCAGCACTCTTCTGTTGTAATCAATTAGAAAATATATTGTCTGTCAATTTTTGACATTTGAAAACCTGGTGCATTCCTGGAGTTCAAGTTCAATATTTGAAGTGTACAGCAAGCATACCTTGGATCTGCAATTAATATTACCCTTCCTGCACTATAAAGCTAGAGAGTTGGCCAATCAGATCATGATTTTGCCCTGGGCATCTTAGGTCAATAAGTAGAAGGAAATTCCTCAGAGCCAAAGAATTCTATCCAATCATTATCTAAAGAAATGGAAGGAATGAGCAAACACACTGGGCTGTTAGCAGCAAGGTATAGCTTTTTCTTTGAATAGAGTGTTGATTGTTCCTCCTATATTCATTATATTGGCAGCATAAATGTGCAGTTTGCTCTGAGATATGAATAGGTATTGGGAAAAATATTGACAAAAATCCAATAAACCTGTAAAAGTGAAATAGATATGTAGTAAGTTTTTTTCAGAGATACTAAAAGGAAAGTTTTTTGCTGACTGTTTATAGCACTATTTTTTCAAACTTCTTGTAGTCTTAAATCGATAAGTTGTAGCCACTCTATTTATAAAGAAGTCAGCTGTGTGAATACAGTCAATTCCTTTTAAATGCTGGCTAATTTTTGAAGCCTCCTGCAATCCAAGCATGGTTTAGTCTAGGGACAAAAAGATCCCTAGACAAAAGATTATTGGACAGTATGAATACTGTACTCAGTATCAATACTGAGATGGGTGGGAATAAGGTGCCAGCACTAATAAACCTGGATAGGTAATCCCAATCAGGTGCTACTTTGTTTGAATTCATTGAAAGTTAAGGGTTTTCTCCTTTCATTAGGAGCTTGTCCCAGTAGTAGAAATAGGAAATTCACTTCTCCAGCTTGACAGAATTTTAACCCACAAATGATGTAGCTCAGAGTCCTAACCATCAAACTATGTGGGAAGCTGAGTGAGATGATCCCTTTCTCCTCCTGAAACAGGAGCCAGGACGTGCTGCCCTGGATGTGAGACTGGGCAGGAAGGAGCCACAACATATCCTAAATTGCTAAAGCTATGAGCAGGGCTTCAGGTCTCAGTTGCTTGGGTTTTCCTTGAGTTTCATTTCTATTAATCCAGTGGTTTCCCACTGAATGTGTAAGCTGTCCCAGAGGTGTGCATTCCAGTCTGAGGGTGTGTTCAGGGCCATGCAAGATAGTGGTGTTTGCATTGCACTGGTTCATATTGGGCTTGTGATATGTACAATATTTATCCTGCATGTGCAATTACCTGAGCAGCCTTATTTACAATAGCCTCTCTTTCTTTTATCTGCTTGTTACAAGGAATTTATTTCTTTGTGGTATATTGAATGATGTGAAATCTTGAAACAACACTTCTGTTTTTTAATTCATAATTAATACATATCTTTTTATATAATTTAAAACATAATCTCAGTCAAGAGAGATGGAGTCAGGTTTCCTAGAGAAGTATTGTTTTCTTAATCTTAACTGTTTGAGGTTCCCTTAATATTTCAAATGCTGGGGCACTTAAATACAAATATAATGCCTACAATTAGTGAAATTAGGCAAAATAAATAGTAAATTGCTAATTTTATGCTAAAAATTGAACTGCAATGGATAGCAGCTGACAAGCTTTTAAAGTAGCAGAAGTAGGGAACAGCAGATGGGTTATTTGAGGAGTGCAAGCATGTTATTTTAATGTTAAGTACACTCAAAAAGGAAAGGCATATGGTAACAGGTTTGAAGACAACTGAAGACTTAGTTCACAGTTTAAACATTTACATTTCTTGAAGTGTGATGGAAATTTTTTTTTCTTCCAAGAATATTTCACAGAAGCATCAGGCCAATATGTCATTCCTCTGAAAACTATTAAATCTTTGCTTCCTGACCCTCAGCGGCTCTTTTGAGCTGCATTAGTTTTCCCAGAATCACAGGACCTTTTAACATTTCTCTCAGTTCAGTGAGTAAAAAACTTGTTTCCTTCTTGGAAATATCCAGGTGAGCATAAAAAAGAGCTGGTTAGTACAGGCAGTGTAGGATTATACACATACACAAAATGTTTTGTGGGACAGGAAGAGGTTTATCAACTGAAGGAAACAGACTACCCTGTTCTGCTTTCCCAAGGTCAGTTGTAATTGCACTGCAGAATGTGGTGCTGGAAAAACTTGTGCTTTTGT